CAGTTCAGTGGTCAATATTGTCTAGCATGTGGAAAGGCCCATGTTCAATCCTCTATGCCAAGGTGAGGGCATCAAATTAGGAACCTAGGTACATAACTGAGTTGTTAGACTGACTGAGTAGCATTAACAAACATCTGAGTTCAATCCCAATACTACCAAAAACCACTGAAAAGGCATATACCTGCAATCACAGCACTCATGGGGCAGAGGGCAGAGGATCAAAAAGTTCAAAGTTATTTTTGACTAACATAGTGAGCTTGAGGACAACAGAGGAACCATGAGACTCTAAAAATATTATGAAATTTTCAGGCAAATGGATGGTGTCAGGAGCTGATGAGGAGAAACTAAAAATTAGCAGGTGATCTTTCTGAGATGAGTCTACCTTTGATTAAAATCTATGATGGACTTGCTCTGGTAGGCAAGACCATGAGGAAACTCATTTTGGGAAAGATTCATGCTATTAATATACTTTTCCTCTTATTATTAAATATATATGACAACCACTAGGTATTGGCCTATCCTTTTATCAGATCTCTGCAGAACAACAAAGATATATTGTCTTGTAGTGATACTATATAAATAGATGATTTCTTAATTCATAATTATACTATAAGTTCTTAAATTATAGCAGTTATTAAGCTCTTTTATAATACACTGCTATTAAATCCTTTCTTATAGTAAAATCTGCAATGAGAACTCTGCCAGTCTTTAGTGTCATGAATCAATTGCTTTTGAGATACCAAGCAGGCATCTACTACTCAGAGCACATTTCAAGAGGTTGTAAAACTATTAACCACAGGTCATAAAAAGGAGACTAACAATTTATTATAGGTGTAAAGACAGAAGACAAAATATTGACTGTGTTTATCTATGCAAAACTTTGCTAATTACTTAGTCACAAAAGTTTTGTTTTTTTAGCTCTCATGAACTTGTAGAGCTGTGAAAGGTGAAGAGTATTTTGCAAGATAATTACTCCTAATGGATATGCACATAAACATTCTCTGTCTATGTAAACTTCTCTCTATGTAAACTTCTTATTCAATTTATGATTTGAATTTATGTGTAAACTTGTGATGAACTTTTTACCATGTGATCATGTCTTCTGAAAGATGTATAAGTGCTGAGGACAAAGAGAAGAGCACTCCTTATCCCCCTCTTCTTAGAATCCCTTAGCCTCTTTTTCTTACAGTCTCTTTACCCATACTTCTTAGAGAACTTTCATAGGAAACTTCATGGACAGAACTTAGAAATAAAGATTAAATCACTACTCAAAGTGTCCCTCTTTTTCCTGAGACTTCAACTAGCAAGCTGGAAGTTAGAACTGCATAGTTCCTGCAGAGATAGAACAAAGGCTATTTTGCTTAATCCTCTGCTGTTTTAAGATGATGTGCTAATGCCAGAGACTGCAGCTCCTGGCCTCAAAGGAACTCAGACTGGTAAATCAGCTACTGCAGCAAAGTGACTTAGACTTAAGCCAGGTAAATGATTTATTATTCAACAGCAAGTCCGAATATCTCACCCCTCCCCCATTGATATTCTCCCTTGTTGGCTTACTTTCAAGAGAGAACCAAGAAAGAAGAACAATTGGGGATGGCCCCAGGCAGGATGGAACTACAAACAATCATCCTAAGTGAGGTAACCCAAACTCTAAAGAACACATATCGCATGTTTTCTCATATATGTGGGTGTTAGCTTTTAATCTGTAGATATTTGAGCTTCAATCTGAAACATCACAGAAGTTAGGTAGCAAGTAAGTGACCAAGGCAGAGGAGGGGATCTTCCAAGGAAGGAGAAATAGAATATAGTGTGACAAAGAGATAACAAGGGGAGTAGAATAGAAGAATTAAGTGAGGGAGTGATGAGAGAGCAAAAGGGAACAGGATCAATTATGGGGGGCAGGTGAGAAGTCAAGAGGGCCCAGAGAAGAAATGAAAATATGCAGCCTCTGGGGGTGGGAGGTGGGAAGACCCTCTAGAAACTATCAGATTCCTGGAGGTGAGAGACTCTCAGGACTCAATGGGGGTGACCTTAACCGAAATGTTCAACAGTGGGGAGAGAGAATTCAAAGAGACCACCTCCAGTAGACACACAGGGCCTCAAATGGAGGGATGAGATTACCAACCTGCAGAATTTCTGACCCAGAGTGGCTCCTGTCTAAAAGAACTGCAGGGACAAAAATGGAGAAGAGAATGAAGGAAATGCAGTCTAATGACTGGCCCAGCTTGGAAATATTGCTTCTTATAAGTAGCTAGCTCTGCTCTGAAAAGCAACTCTGCAACCTAGCTGGGTCCCGACAGCTACTGCAGGTCACTCTTCACACTACTTTTCTTGCAAGGGTTTTTCTTATTCATGTTTGTCTTTGGAGGCATTTTTGTTGATGTCTCTTTGTTCCAGAAGTGTGGTTTTATATTTGAAGACAGAATACCACTGCATATTTCAGAAATGCCTCAAACTTGTGGTATTCATCTGCCTCAACTGAGGAGCCAGCCTGACTCCATTTTGTAATCAGGAGACATCTTGATACTTCAGTTAAGTTTCTGTTTACTATAAAATTTGAGATTGTGTTTCATGGAACCTGACATACTTTAAAGAAGTCTAACCTACCTGGGACAGTAAACCACTCCACCTTCTGCCCTTAGTCACTTAAAATACTCTGTACACATTGTTCAAAGAAGATGTCTTAGTTACTATTCTATTGTCATGAATAGATGCCATGACCACAGCAACTCTATAAAGAAAAACATTTAACTGGGTCTGGCTTTCAGTGCAGAGATTTAGTCCATTATTGTCATGGCAGGATGCAAGCAGACATGGTGCTGGACAAGGAGGTGAGAATTCTGCATATGCGTGGGCTAGCAGCAAAAGGAGAGTGACACTGGGCCTGGCTTGAACATCTGAAACATCAAAGCCCATCCCCAGTGACACACTTCCTCCAACAAGGCCACACCTTCTAATAGTGCCTAATAGACCGCACAGCGGATAAAACTCTTGCTGCCCAAGCATGAGGAACATAAGTCCAGATCCCCAGCACTCACATAAGAAGTTAGATGTGGTCACATGCATGTGCAACAAACAGAGCTTCAGGGAGGAGACAGAATGACTTCTGGAAGTTTCTGGCCATCCATCTTTGAAAAAAAAAAGTCAAGCTCCAAGTACAGTGAGAGGTCCTAGCTCATGGAAATAAAACAGGAGCCATATAGTCTACACCTGAAGTCTACTTCTGACAGGCATATATATATACCTGTGTATATGTGTGTGTGTGTGTGTGTGTACATATATGAAAACAATTAGAAATTTGGTTGATATCTGGTTAGTTATCAAAAAGGGAGATTTGTTTCAGCTCACAGATCTATCTTTAAAAGGAAACCACACAACAGTTGGATTACAGAGGAACCTGACACATAATCACATCAATAAAGTCTGATACAATTAAAGGGGCTCAAGGCCATCTGGCCCTGAAATGTGAAGGAGACCATTAATTTAAATTTATTTTTAAAAATATTAAAAGGACATAATATTTATGATAAACCAATATAGGTATAGAGGTAAGACTTTCATATACATATGGAATAATAAATGACTATTATAGTCAAGTTAATATATCCATGGCTCCATATGTATCTATAAACATTGTTTTAAGACTCCCAGCCCTCAGGAGGCAGAGGCAGGAAGATCTATGTGAGTTCCAGGTAGGCCTGGTCTACATATTCAGTTCTAGGCCTTTGAAAGCTACATAGTGAATCCCTGTCTCAAAAATAACAAAAAGGAAAAAATAATGAAAACCTTAAGAACATCACATGCAAAATTTTCAAAAGTCTCAGAAACAAAGCAGTGTTCTCTAAGCCCATTTCCCCCTCATTTCCACACTATTCCCATACTCAATGGATGGGAGACAGACTGGAGACCACAGCAAGGCTGCTGAAGATACCCTTCAAAGACTAAAAAGCATCTCCTGGAGCGAGTCAGCTGCATCCTGTGGTAAAGTCAACTCCTGCTTCATCTTGTGTGGGATGTCTGAATACTAAAGCTGTCTGTTTCTTACCTCCATCTGTCAATGACCAGCTTTGACATCAAAGGATAAACTTAGGTGGGGATAAGTCATCCATTAATAATTCAGCAGTCTTTTTTTCTGAGGAAACAAAACTTGAGTCACTGAGGCCATCAAAATATTCCCTGTGAAATTCCCAGTGAAAAACTCTTTGTGGCCAGTGAGAGATTCCTTGAAGGCCAGCAAAAAACTCCTCAGAGGCCCTAGAAAGAAGAGGAATGATACACACAAACACACACATACACACACACTGGATGGATGATACAAGCTTCAACAAGCTCCAACAAGTTCACAAATATATACACATACATAAACACACACACAAACACACATACACACACTGGGTTGATGATTCAAGCTTCAACAAGCTCCAACAAGTACACACACATGCACACACACACACACACACACACACATTCTGTTGTGCCAGGAAACATTTGTGAACCTCAAAAGACCATCAAGGAGCTGATTTTGGTGTAATCTCATTAGGGTCTCTTTATTATAAGTTCTAGGTTCTGATCCCTACCAGCACTGACACAGCAGGATGGGAAGGTGGAGCCTCCAGCACAGTTTCAGGAAAACATTTATAGAGGCAAGAAGTGGTATCTAGCCTGGTACACATCTGATTTGGTGGACATTGTGACCTTTAACATAATTGGCTGGTGCTGGAAAACAAACCATAAACTTAACTTTTGCTTTCCTCCTGATTGGTGGTTGTTAGGAAGTGAACTGCCAAGGGTGGGTTTGTAACTTGGGGGTACAGATTTGTTGGGGAATAACGTGGAAACTAGTGCTAGACACAAGTCTTGTTGGGGGGTAGCCTGGAAACTGGTGTTAGGAACAGATTTTTGTTGTGAGGTAACCTGGAAAGTGTTGCTAAGTACCAGCCTGTTAGTTAACTTGAGTTTAACTTTAGGTCGGGTTCTCTAAAATGAAGGTGGAACCCAAAAGATCTGGTCTCGCATGAGCAAGCAACATCTTTATTTTTTTCTCCCACAACTTATATATCCCCCCAATTCTTTCAAGCAGTATCGAAATTACAAGGTGACTACATTCTATTTTTCTTGTGAATTATTACAATGACTGTATATAAGAAAAAACATGTTTTCCAATAACATCACATGAATAAACATTTTACATATTACAAATGAAAGAACAATTATTCCCAAGAGCCCACATGCATTACCAACTAAGCAACTTGCTATCGATTAACAAAACATAAGCAAGCAGGGTAATATTCTCAGCCAGGCTACAATTTGTGGTTACATAGAGAGAATAGATTATTTTAATATTTATCTTTAAAAGTAATCTCATAAAATCTTAAAAGAATCATAAATCTAAACCTTTATATAAAAAACAATCAGACACTTCTACTTTGAATTCTCTACTCACAAGCAATTTTTTATTAAATCATATCAGGAAGCTGAAGGCAAAATGGGTACAAGAAATTAATTATCACCTGGATCATCATCCCAGCTTCAGCAACAAAGTCACATCAGCCAGTGCTAGGTGACCTAACATTGTTCTTGTTCCCTGACCTTGAACACATCCCTTGATTAATAATCAAAAGTGTGCTTTTCTGAACTTCAATTTGCTTTATAAGATTTTCAACATCACAGCCATTAACAAAAACATTTTAACTAACTTTACAAACAATCTTCTTCCCGAAATTCTTCCTAAGACTGATGGTCATTTCTAACAATCTACATTGCTAAGTTCTTTCCAACAGTGATGCCCCCTTAGATTTTTCTTACAACTCATAGATTATGAGGGATGCAGTGTGAGGGCAGCAAACAGAGCAAAACTCTATGACAGCATAAACTCTATGACAGTCATGGGTGTGACTCTCTGAGGCACACCCATGTGATTGTGCTAACTGAGGGGCTGAGTTCAATGAATTCTAAAGCTGTTTGGCTGATCCTCTTGCACTACCCCAGCATCTATCAAACACTGCTTCCCTGTTGTGGCTTCTATATAGATCAATCTTCTTTTCCCAGACCCTTCCTGTTGACCTTGACAATGAATGGTTGTCTATATGAACAAAAGCTGAAGCTCTAGTCTTTAGACAGGAGGACCATATAAGGACTGCCAAGGTACTATTCAATATACCTCCTAAATTCAATGGTGGGCATGCAGGCTTTTTAAATATTAGCAATCTACACAGTTAATAAATATTCTTTAATAGGATGGCTAATTATTTCTTTAGCTGTGAAACAGGATCTGGTCTGAACTTCTTGATTCTTGTACCTCAGTAATCTAAATGCCTAAACTACAGGTGTATACCACCATGCCCAGCTAAACTAAGGTGTTTTAGGAAATCAGGTATTCAGAACTGTCAGTAGCCTTCAGCTACATCCTTTACTCCAGTACAATGGGAGAGAATGGGACTATCCATTTCCAGAAGATAAGCAAGCGTTTTGACTGAGGGTGTCTTTCCTTCACATCATTAATCACTTTAATGTCTTCTTCATCCAGGAGCCAACTGAGCATATGCAGCCTGGTGAGGCTGGGCAGTCGGGATACACACTGACCCAGAGCCTTGACAGTGGTGGCCTGAACTTGAATGCATTCTGGGATATGCCTGCAGATGTTCAGCTCTTTCAAGTTTGGCAGATTGTCTAGGGCTTGAAAGAAATTTCTGTATCCTTCCTCGGTAATCTTGTGATTCATGGAAAGATCTAAGTTCTCGAGTTTCTGGAAACCTCCTCTGGCTGCCACCCTGGCTGGAAAACAAAAGAATTATGAAAACAGAATCTTGAGGACAACAATAATGCTCACAAGTTATTGGAACTACTCCCAAACCCCAACAATGTAAGTGGGATGTTCTCTACACGATGTTTTAGAGATCAAACTTTGAAAGGACCAAAGAGCTGTCTGATAGAAAACCACTTGAACAAATGAAAGGGGGAAGCAGATACCAGGAAGTCAAGCACAGAGAACTGTTGCTGTCTTTGGAAAGTGGGCTTCTTTTCTGTCTCATAGGAGGGCATATGTCAAGGCAAAGCACAGCTATGGACCAGGAAACAGTATATGGGACTGAGAAATTATGTCAACTCTCTTTCCCTTTATGCAGGGAAGTGTCCTCTCCCCCAACCTTGAACAGGCTGAAAAGATTTTGTTTTACCACAATAGACCTTGCCACAATAGGACCTAGGTGGAGTTATCCTGGCTGCATATACAACTTCCTACAGGAACTTTGAAGAATAGAGTGCCTGCTGAGCTTGCCTTGTGACATAATCCAGCTGAAACAAAGGATGGGTTCACTGGGCTTCCCCTATATATGCAAGTGCTGAATATTAAACTTTGAGCTTTGACCAGAAAACTTTGTCTTGACTCCATGTTTCTCTTGCCCCCTGTCTCTTTTTCACTTCCAGCCTCCCTTTCAGGAGAACCCAGTTCATCCTTGGCCCCTGGGTGGCTATGGGTGGCACCTTGGGTGGAGCTCCACAGAAAATGGAAGAAGAAGAGTATCCTGCAGGTGGTAAGAAACAAACAGCATTGATGCTAGTTCTAGTTTACCTTTTGGAGGCTGTCATTGCAGATGCATTAAGTGGATACAGCTAGGTTGAATAGGTGTTAACCTGATGCCAACCTCACCTAGGGGTGACAGCAAAATATCTATGATTCTGGGGGAATCATAGATAGGCTTTCTTCTGCATCCTAAGAGCTGCCTCAGGTGAAGGGAGCAGGGTTAGGAGGAATTGAGGAAGTTAAGAAAGCAGGGCTCTGAGGAGTCATTATCAGTACCTGCTGCTGCACCTCCTAGAGAAGGAGATGACTAGCTAGACCTTAAATATGAGAAAGAGAAAGGGTTTCAGGAAAGCAGTTGTCCCCTGTCTGGGATGCATTAGCAAGAGAAGGAAAATGGATCTGTTTTCCCTCTCTGTCTATTGTCTGTCTTTGGGATGCCAACCTGTTTATGTCTGTCAAAACTGATTGAATGGGCTGAAGAGATGGCTCAGCGGTTAAGAGCACTGACTGCTCTTCCAGAGGTCCTGAGTTCAATTCCCAGCAACCACATGGTGGCTCACAACCATCTGCAATGGGATCTGATGCCTTCTTCTGGTGTGTCTGAAGAGAGCAATGGTGTACTCATATACATAAAATAAATAAATCTTTAAAAAAAAAAAACTGATTGTTTTATGTTAAGTCTGTGTATTCGTTTCATTGTTTGAATGATTGTTGTTCTGTGTTTCATGTTCAAAAGAAAAAATTGTTCAAACTTTATCTGCAGGCTATCCACTCCTTGGTTTGATTTAACTTGATTAAAAGGGAGTCTTAATTTGCACACCAGAAACTGATAAGTTATCCTGCACCTGTAGCTAGGAGTCGAGCTCAGCTGCAGAAGCCTTTCTGGGAGCTGGTTGTCTGCATACGCTGCTCTTAAAGGGGCCAGCGGCTTTTTGGCTTCTATGGTAAGAAAGCTGATGGTTATTTTTCCTAGAAAACTCTCTGTGAAAGTGTTTACTGGGTTCAGCAAGTGACAAGGTACTTTTCTCTTGAAATTTCATTTAGAAAAAGTAAGAAAATTTTGTTTGATTTAAATATATAAAAGGTGGGATGACGCTGTGACGTCATTGTGCTGCAACGCCAATTAACTGAGGGAACTTAGAACCACTTAGCAGCAGTGGGAGTGGCAGGGGCCCTGAGAACTGGAACTGTGGTGAACCAGAATAATTTAAAAATGACCACACAGAACAAGACACCACCGGGTGCTGATCCTAAGCAGTTGGACCGGACAGCAACAGTCAGGAAAGTTGGGTCTCAGGCTGTTTAGTCACTCTCTTCATGCAAACCAGGGTTTGGAGTGGATCAATTATGAGATGACAATCTAGAAACTTACTGGCAATCTGATGGCTCTCAGCCTCATTTAGTGAACATCTAATTCAGAAGGAAAACAACAGTGAAGACAATGTATATTTATGTAGACTACAAATCTGATGAAAGCTATACTCCAAGCAAAATCTCAGTCAGAGTAGAAAATAATTTTCACAACCTTCAAGAAATCTAGGTTACATCCAATATTTTGAAAGAAAAAGAACTCTGAGCCAGGAAGGATCCCATGCACTTGAAACAACTTGAATTGGTACAACCAAGTGGCTGGATTCATGTTCCTTTAACTGACAATCATAAGAAGCCAACTCACACATTCATGATACAGATTGCTGTTCTAGCCAATCACCAGAATGGAAGAGATGCCCACATGAGACAAATTAAAATATACACACCAGTAGAAGAGAGCTCCATTGGGAAATTCCCTAGATGCACAACCATCGATTTCATGAAGTATCATTCAATACAGTGACTTTAAAATGGACAAAAGTGAACAGACATTTGTTTTATCCTATCATTGCATAGTATATCACGTATCTTTGGTGAAAAATCATGGTACTTTGCAACTTTACATACATTTAAAAATAATTTAGATAAATAACTTTTAGGTCATGTCTATTTTTTATATAATAAAGCTCATATATTTTATGTTGCTAAAAATGAATTTGAAGCCAATCTTTACATTTTTGTATTTAAAGAAAACTAGTTAAACTGAAATTTTCAAGATGTATATAATATTTTTTTACCAGTTACATTGTGGTTATTTCATATAATGGTTGTTGGATATTGGGAACAAAACTCTTTTTCTAATGTATATGTAATTTTCAATAGCATTGATGAAGTGGAAACGTAAAGTTCTTTGGAAAATTAGTTGTGTTGAATGGTGTTTTCCTGGGAGCAGACACAGGTGAAAGACTGAGGAAGACACATAAAGGAAGATTTGGCTGAAACAGACACAGGTATGTTCTGCCAAAACAAGCATGTGAAAGGACTTGTGATGAAGGATTCTTCTTTGCTGACAACGTGCATGTGTTGGTCCACCTTACATTGCATAGTTGAGCTGTATTTGCTGGGATTCCAACACCAAAAAACCTGTGGTGGTGTGCTACAGCTTTTTGCTGCTTCTGCGGGCTGATTGGCAGAGATCTGTCAGCTGAGACAGACTCAATTTGCTGAAGCAAGGCACATGCTGAGGCAAAGACCCGTGGAGGACACCTGATGTTAGGAGGGAGTATAAATAGGACTCAACAGACAGTGATGGAGGCTGAACTAGGCTTGCTTATAGAGCTATCTGTGCAAAGCTTGAGAGGCACAGGCAAGAACTTTTCCTGGTGTTCCTGTTGGCCATGGTACCTCCGGTTGACTTGTGCTAGGGCTGAGGCCTGGCTGTCTCTGCTAGGTAGTGCCACCGCTGCTGATTTGTGTTTGCTATCCTGACTCTTATCAACCTGCCACTGCTGACTCCTGTAAACTAAACTGCTGGTTTCCTGACAACGCAGATGGGAGTTGCTCCAAAGAACTATATCTTATACAGGTCCACTTCCCCTATAACCTTTCCTTTCCATTACCTCTGGTGTGTGGAGGCTAAAAGGAAGGTTAAAGCCTTTAAGAATCCTCATTTTTAAAAAGGTTTGAAAAAAATTAAAGTTATACATTGATTAAAATTTTTAGAGGAAATTAAATGTTTTTAATGTGGGTTTGTTTATTTTTTATATAGTATCAAAATAAACTGGCACTAGATGTCTGTTAAATATATATATGTGTAGCCACTTTGTTTTAGTTTCTGACTGGTTTTAAAAGTATAAATATTGTTCTGTATGTCTTGGCTATATATAGATTATTGGCATATAAATTATTGAGTATGATTAAAGTTTCTAACATTGGTAACAGAAAGTTAGCTTAAAACTGGTAACTCAGGGTTAGAGTCATTCAGAAACTAGACTTATAAAAGATAGGATTTGGGGCAGTGTCTCTTTGGTGAGGTATTGGAGGCTGCTGTACACAATTGTACATTCATGTGCAGGAATTGACACCCAAGATTTGTAACATGAAAGTAATGCTCTTGATATTGATTTTTAAAGAGAATGAATTTTTAAAAACTGGGTTTTGTCTTCCAAGGTTGTGAGTATGCTCTAGTATTGCAAAAGAAACTTAAAAATATAGTTAAACTGCCAGTGTTCCATTGGCTGCAGTTTGCAGTTCAATTCCGGGCTCAGGATTTTTGACTCACCCATGACTGTAGTTTAGAAGAGGATCAAGCAGGTGGAGGCGGTTGCAAAGGTAATAAAAGAGTTAAAAACAGCTGTAGCACACACAGTACAGGCCTGCTTCCCCTTTTACACAAGCTTTATTGGATACAGCGATAGAAGAAAATTTAACCTCCTAAGATTGGAAAACTATATATCAGGCTACTTTGTCAGGAGGAGATTACTTACTTTGGAGTTCTGAATGGCGTGAAGCAAGTAAAGGAACCGCCATGATGAATGCTCAGGCAGGTAATGCAGACTGGGATATTAACATGTTTCTAGGAGATGTTCAATATGAAGTCAATGCTAATCAGATTGGGCTACCTGCAGGAAAGTATGCACATGTTGCAATGGCTGCCTGCCATGCTTGGAATCAATTATCGAATAAAGGGGATCTTAGTGGAAATGTATCTGGTATCCAACAAAGCACTCATGAATCATTTCAGGAATTTGTGGATAAGCTGCTAAAAGCAGCTGGTAGAATTTTTGGAAACCATCAGCCAGGAGTTCCTTTTGTTACTCTATTGGCTTACAGACTTATCTGGATACATTTGTCTTTGTGCAGAAATTGGACCCTCATACAATCATGGTCTGGCTATGGCTGCTGCCTTACAAGGAACCACTGTACAAGCAATGGATTTACA